ACTCTGGGTTCCTCGACAAACTTTGGTCGAACTTAAAAGCTTTGTTTGACCCTTCATGGATTGTTACTTATTTACTCTTGGGTATCATAGTCTTAATTCTTTTCTTGCTCATAAAATGCCTTGTTCTATGCTTCTGCAGACAAAACCAAGTAAATTACTTGGTGTATCAAGTTCTCAAGACGCTCAAGGACCAAAACTTCAACACCTGCCCCCCTCCCCCGAGGTCTGGCAGGTCTGGCTTGCTGACATCTGAGAAGTGGCTGTGTAACTTTTTGCCCTTCTCCTCCCTCCTAAGTCACACCCTTCAAGGGCTGGTAGTCAATGACGGTTAAGATCCTGATGGTCAGGATGACCTAAGACAGGCATAGTCCATCAAGTTGGGTGTCCTCTGAGGTAGGGTTAACTATGTCGAGGCAAAGAACCTTGGCTCCCACTGACCTTTCTATAATAAAAAGGGATGGATATGTAGGAGAGGAAGTGCCAGGCCTAAGCACAGGCCGCACTAGAGAACACAGCTTCCACCTTGAGAGCACAGCCCACGCTTCTGCAAAAGAGCCAACCTTATCTGCCCCCAGACCTAGAGACTGATGATGTGAGTGGCCTGGATGAGGGGATTTATCAGGGAGCGACACACCAGCTTATGGGATACTGGGGGCAGGGGGAGAGATATATAAGGCCTGCCCTTTCCAGCAATAAACGAATCTGCAGCACCTCCCCTAGTGCCTGCTTCCACCCGACTCCCAGTGTCTGTGTGTTGACTCCGCACCACTCACCTCCACCTTGGCCAGAACCCTCGTTCCCTGCTATCCCTCGTGGGCTGGACCCATGAGGAAACCTGCAACAGCTGGGTACAACTCACAATATGCTAAGGGACAAATTGGCTAATTACAAAGGAAAGAAATCAAACACCGATCTTTCACCATTCCTTTATAGATTCACTTTGGGGTAATCAAAGTTGATGAGGGAAAAGTTCTTCAAAGAATAATCATGGGTAATAAGTGCAGGAAGAGAAATGGATAATTAATCCCTAATGAAATAGCAGAAACGGGCAGTGATCAACGGCTGCTAAGACAATCAGGTGAAAAGTTTTGGGTGAACCTTGGGTGGATCAGGTGGACTAGAGCTGACACCACTAATCCTGACAACATTAAGTGGGAGAGACTGTACCACATGAGGGACAAAAGGAAGTCCATGGACTTTGTACTGATGTGGCCTTGCAAAGTACTCCCCTCCCCTCCCCTCCTTCAGACAAAGCCTCACTATGTATCCCTGACTGGCCTAGAACTCATATAGACTAGCTGGCCTTGCTGGGATTAAAGGTGTGCACCACCATGCCCAGCATCTTGCAAAACAATCTTGATTCTGACTTTATAAGTTCTATATTTAATTACCAGTTTATATGGAACACAGAGGATACATGATTGTGTTAACAGCACCTTGAGGAGACAGTAAGCTGGGTTCAAAGTGTCAGAGCCCATATAAGAAAGGAACTGGTTCTTCAACAAAGGAGTTTGGAAGGACATAAGTGTGAAGTGGGGGTGGGGCTGGGGGGTAGGATGTTACTCATTAAAAGAAATTTTAAAACACAAACTTTTTTTCAAGATTTATTTTTAGTATTTTTAATTGTGTGTATGTGTGGGTGTTTGTGTGAGGGTCATGTGCAAGTGAGTACAGGTGCCCGTGAGGCCAGAGGCATCATCACCCCTGGACCTGGAGGTACAGGTGGCTGTGGGCCATCCAATGAGGGCCAAACTCAGGTCCCCTGAAAAAGCAGTATAAGCTCTTAACTGCTGAGCCACTTCTCCAGCCCTGACATCAACTTCTTGCTACACAAGCATGAGGACCTGAGCTCAGAGCCCCAGCACCCATGTAAAAAGTCAGATGAGGCAGCTGTGTACCTAAAACCCAGCCCTGGGAAGGCAGAGATGAGAGGGATCCTGGGGCTTGCTGGAGCTGGAGTGAGCTCCAGGTTAGTGAGAGACCCTGTCTCAAACAAACAAACAAACAAACAAACAAAAAGATGGACAGCAACTGAGGAAGAAGCCCGACACAGACCTCTAACCTCTATTTACATACAAACATGAGACATCAACCAAATGTGACTTAGTGCTATGGGGGAATGCAACATTTAAGAGTGTTAGAGGACATTAAGGAATCACTTGTTCTGTGTGTGACACTTATGTGAAGTGATTCATGTTATTATAGAATTGACAAGTGACATGGCAAAACCAAAAGGATGCTGACAGTCGCTGAAGCTGAGTGGTGGATGCATGGGGCCTCACTTTACTGTCATTTCTACTGTGGCATACAGTTGGAAGTTTTTCTAAGAAGATTCCCTCCTCCTGTGCTTTTAAAGTGGGCTCTACCAAACAGAACTGGGGTCCCAGGGGCCATCTCAGGGCTCCATGTTCACTTGTAGACACACTGTTGGCAAACTGTTCCCTACCTTGCAGAACGTCCCTCTGAGGGTAGACGATCTAGAGAAGGCCAAGTGTTACTGTTTTCTAGTGAGCCTGGTGTTCATACTAACACTGAAGAGTTAAGAAGACTCATCTACATATCGGCCTAGTCTCTTGTTGGAAACACTTTCACAAATACACAAGGCTGAAGGATTCTTTTTTAAAATTTTATTATTTTTAAATTATTTTATGTGTATATCGCTTGCATCTATGTAACTGCACCCATGTCGTGCCTGCAGAGGTCAGATTCCCTGGAGTAACGGGTGGCTGTTAGACACCATATAGGTGCTGGGAACTGAACTTGGGTCCTCTGCAAGAGTAGCCAGTGCTCTTAACTGCTGAGCCATCTCTAAAAGATTCTGAAGTCCTTTAATCCAGCTCACTTATTCTGGGCAAGCATTTATGTAACAAATATCTTAGAGGTGCTCACGTGTCAAGTACAATGCTAAACGAAGCAGGCTCTACCTATATGAAGGACCAAGTTAGTGGACTAAGTCAACACCACCCAGCCCCCTGAAATCCTTTCTGAACAGAACAAGGAATGACAACGCGTTCATACAGTGTTCTAACATTTAATCCCTTAAAAGCACTAGGGAGGAGCCAGTAGTAAGCGTGCCTGTTCACACACAGGTGCAAATATGAAATCTTAAATGAAGCAAAAAAGCAGCCAAGTAAGTCAGCAAAATCAACTACAAGGAAGTAGTGTCCTTGAACCCAGGCAGCCTGGCACAAAGCTTCTCTAGTCTGCAGTCTTCTACTGCACTCCAAATTGCAAGTTTGTTCAGTTTGAATATCAGACAGACGTGGCCTGGCCTGGCAGGAAAGGGCAACAGGGCATTCCTGGCCAGCAGACCAGAAAATGATATTCATCACTTAGTGGAAGGAGAGAGCTGAAAGGAGTAACAGCACAGGCAAACAGGCCATGACCTAGCCCACCTCAATGGCTCACAATGGGGACAGCAAGTCGGTGCAGGGTGGCAGGCAGAGCTGGGATCTCCAAATAGGTGGCCCTTGCTCTCAGACAACAGCAGACACGCAACATGGTGCGGTCAGGGCAGAAGCAGGCCCTCCCTACACTCCTGTCCCACACTGCCCTGAGAATGCTCTTTGGCAACACCACGCTCGACACAGGCCTGGGCCAGGTTCTTCCTCTGCACCTTCTGCTTCCTCCAACACTGGCTGCCTTTACCAGCTGGCAGAGGAGCCCCTACTGACCCCACAGCCCTTCAGCTCATTGTGCTGTGCTGCTATGCTTCTTGAGGGCTCAGCTCTAATGCCTAACCCTCAGCCAGGGCACTTCAGGGCCAGTCAGCTAGTCACAGCTCCCGTGGCAGCTTGGAGGTTCTCACAGGCCTCTCTCCTCCAAAGTACATATGCTCATCCCTGGGATGGACACTGATCCTCCCCTGAGGTCCACAGCCCCTCCCCCTCCCCCTCCCCCTCCCCCTGAATCTGAGATAGAATACAGCCATGTGCTGTGTAACAATGCTTTAATCAATGACGGGCCAACACAACAGGAATCTCATAAAACTGCTACCTAGTGGCGTGGCAGCCACCTCAGTCTGTGCAGTGTACTTACTCCATAATGTACATACAAAGCCGGGATCACCCATCCACACACAGCTCAGAGTGTATCCCAGACACCAGGGACACATGGCTGTAGTTGACAGAGGCTACTTAAAACCTGAACAAAACTTGAAATAAGGCAGAGGCTGCGTGGTGATAGCAGCCCTCTTTAGGTCCTGTGAATGAACTATGTCCGGGGCTACAAACAAGGATGTGCGAGACAACAAAGATAAGAAAGCCAGCCTGTCATCTCCCGCCAGCTCAAGAACAGAATCTCAACTGGACCTCCTGGGTCTGCAGCCCTGGGCTGTCCTCGCCCAGGCCCTCTTCACCTGTGTCCTCTAAGCTTGTGCCATGGGCCCAAGACTGCCTGGCTTTAGTCAACCCATGACCCTTTTGGATTTTTCCCAATCTAAACAATCTAAACAAACCTAGCAGCTTCTTGAGAGCAGCCCTGGGATGAGGTTCCAGCCCCTTTCTGTCTTCCCTGGGGATTGCCTCTGAACTCCAGAGTTAGAAAGGGGGAAAACGTTAGGCACTTTCTTTCCATCATTCAATGAGTGTTACCTACTTGCTGGTGCCAGGAACAGCCCTGGAAAAGAAGGGACATAAAAGCAGACATGTGGGACTTGGGAATGGCTCTACAATCCTTAGTTAATCCTAAACACATTTCTACAGCCAGTCAGACAGGTAGATTCAACATGAAATAAGTCACCAAACAAGTCACCTCCTCCAGTTGTAAAGAAAGAGGGCAAGATACAGAAAGAGTTTCATTACAGAAGAACCAGCAAGTATTCAGGATGTGTACTTAGGATAATCACTACCAAGAAAGCAAATATGCTAAATCTTCAACCCCCTGAGGTCACATTCCAAATGGTTTTCCATTTCCTGATGCAACTCTGAGGGTCCACATAGAGTTACAGGCTCTTCACTGTAAAAGAAAACCAAAACATTAAATAGAAAGAATTTTCAAAGTAAAATTATTAAGAATGTATTTAAAATGATAAATTCCCTAGACATAAGATATATGAATTTCTGGCCAATAATTTAAAGAGGTCTACAGTTTATACAAAATCTCCTCACATTTTCCTGTAATTAAATACGAGTACATATCACCTTTCCCTCTAGGAAAAGGGCAAAAGAAAAGTCTGTATTAACCGGTTCATGGAATATCATGAAATAATTAAATAGGTATTAACGAAAGAAAATCAGTATTGTAAAAAAACTCCTTGATCAATGAAGTCTATAGAAATCTACTGTGTTGTCTTGCTGCTGGCTTTTCTTTCAGTCTCTGATGATCACTTAGTTCACAGCCTTAAAATAAGGCAGGTCAAACAGAAGAAAGTCCACAGATGATACCAAACGGCATCTCTTCCTCTCCTGAGTGGCTCTGCTTTGGAGACTGTGCCCCACTCCCTACCACCACTTCTCAAAGCAAATGTGTTCTTTGGGAACGTGGTTCTTTTCCAGTTGTTTGGAGAAAAAGTCCGTCATTGGAGGTGGGCCACAAATATAGAACAGAGTCTCTGTTGAAATATGATCTCTTATCTCCTTCTCTGTCATTCTTCCTTCTACCAAAAAACAGAATAAACACCAACTTAAGCCAATGATGTTTACATCTGGACTAACTAAACTTAAACTAAGCAACAGTAGTTATCAGCAGTACATCAGCTCAGGGCTTCTCCAGGCTTCTTATTCCCACAGCAAGCCAAGGAGAAGGCTCTTCATCAGGCACTCTATAGGCAGAGCAGGTTCACTTACTGGCCTTCACAGAGATGAAAACTGCCCTCAGCAAAGAAAATGGCTGTTTGATTTTTTTTAAAGTCCTCTGGGCTGGCAAGATGGCTCAGTAGGTAAAAGTGCTTGCCAAAGTCTGATGACCTGAGCTTGATCCCTAGGAATCTCATGGTGGAAGGAAAGACCGATTCCTGTAAGCTGTCTTCTGATCTCCTCCATGTACATGTACATATCTCAATACACACACACACACGTTATAATAAAAACTTTGGAAAAAAAAATCTTAGAAACAGGGAAATTTGAGTAACTTAAATGGCCAGTAGTGACAAAGAGAACCAATTCAGCACCTTATAATGATGACACTAAGACCTACTGAAAATGTGAAACAGAATTTTAACATGGGCAGTAAGAAACCTGTACACAGTAAATAAATCTTCCAACTCCATAGGAACCATCTCAAGTCCCCTGGGAATCACATTCCCAGCTGGCAACTCCCAACAATACATTTAGTTTCAATTAATTGGCCTGTCCACCTGCATGGTTAGTCAAAATATCTCTAGGGGACTTACCCATGATGTATGGCTTGAGTTCTGCACTGATTTGTGTCGTCTGTTTTGTAACATACAAACGGCATGCAATCTTCTCAGGAAACTCATTTACTAAATCGAGTATATTTCTCTGGAATGTCAAACATATTTGGTCACGCTACAATTTAAAAAAAATCAAAACAGATGTGCGCAAACACCGCTGCCGAAGCTTAACTCCCATTCTGCACACGTCGCCTCTCCTGCTCGCTACTCAGGGAGAGATTGTCTGCAGCCTAGTAGGCCAGAGGACTGAGAGCACAGGGCATGATTTGGCTTTAATTGAAATCTGAATATGCTAACAAGCGTATTAGTAACTCTGGGAGCCTTTTCTTTTTCCCTTTTCTCAAGCGCTGCAATTAAGCAGCAGTTTTACTGACCACAGTTGTGTCTTGTAACTGTTCCTGTTCTTTTGTTCATTCCTGCAGCTGCAAGGCAGTGGAGAGAACGCCTTCTGCATTGGACATGCTAGCCTTCAACAGCTGCAACTATGAGGGTTTCCAGTGCCCCGACGGTCCAGACTATCCAGGTCTCACCTACCCCTGTAATACCCGAGCCCATCTGCAAGTCTTCTGACTCTTCTGGAATCCTGAGGGCCCTGATGACTTTTTTTTCCTTTAAGTTTCTTGAGACAGGGCCTAATGTAGTCCAAGCTGGCCTTGAATTTGCTATACAGTTGAGGCTTTCCATGAGCTCCTGATATTCCTTCCTTAACATCCCAAGTGCTGGGATTACAGGTCTGAGATACCACACCTGGCCCTGGTTCACCCAATTCCACTAATCTTTAGATTCTGTCTTACCAAGACCCACCCTCTTCTGTCGCTTAACTGGAAGCGTCCTCAGCACTAGCAGTTTTAACTGTTCTGGGTGAGAAGTGTCTCTTAATTCTCATCTAAATCAAGCCTTGCCAAGTCCTTTGTTTGAACTTTCGCAGAGAAATCAGAACCTAGAGAAGAATCTTTGTTCACTGTACGCAGCAATGGCTTTCAGACATCTCCAAGTACAGTCTCACCTCCAGTCGTCCTCCTTCCCTTCACTCCCACTTGTTCCCCACTTTGACTGATGTCCTGTATACCTGTAGGACTTCTGTTTTCCAATTAGCATACAAAGCAATAGGTTTCACTGTGGCATTTCAGGTGCAGTTTTGGTTGATCCTCACCCCCATCCTAGTCTCCTGCTCCCCCGAGCGCCCATTTGCACCCTCCCAGTACTGCTTTACCTTTCATGTCACATGATGTTTATGCACAGCCAGTGCTTACCTTAAACAGGAGCTCGCTGGTATTCTTTGCGCTGTAGAAGAGCGTTATTGTCCCTATCTCATACCCATTTCCTCTCTCTGCCCGCTCTCGGTGGAGATCTGCTGAGTGGCGCAGAATGGAAAGCAGGGGGTTAATTCCAACTCCTCCCGCAATCAACACGAGGTTTCGAGGGGCATCTGTGGGCTGAGGGTCAAAGAAGAACTCTCCACCCACTCTCACAGCCACTTCAGAGTTGAGTGCACACTAAAGCAAGCAAGAAAAGACCCTTTAGTCCTGTGCAGCATAAGGCTGGCTCGACCTTCTGTCTTTTTATCAGTAAACTGATTTACAAAGCTTGCTCAAGATTTTCCTGTGACTTGATTCTATTTGTCCATCATGTAGGATGCTTGCTACCCCGCCTCTGAGATCCATATGACAGCCAGTCTGATACTGAGACGGGGGACTTGCTTCAGAGATGCTGCCATTTGTTAACTTCACAGGTAAGGAACCAAGCTGACAAAAGTGGAAACGGACTCAGGCAGTAGTCACTTCTGGGGTATTGGAGTCATGGTCCTGTGTTCTGACCCAGGCTGAGAAAGGAGGGATGGAATAGGTATGTCCTTAGAACTGACCCCTGGGAGACCCAGCCAGACCAGTACTGCAGGTCCATAACAGACTATAGTTCGGTTGGGTTCTGTTCACTTCTCCCTGGAGCAGCTGGACAGGCAGTCAGAGGCTTCACATGCAGGCTGAGGTGCACACAGGCCTGCCCAGGTAATGCACCAGCATTTGGTGAGGTCACTTACACCACAACTGCCACCAGAGGTGAATGCACTTCCCAGTGTGCCAATGTTGCCCCTGGTGGGGTATTCTGGAAATTCATGGTGACATTTCTGTGGTCTCAATGATTTGAGGAACCTATGTGGCATTCAGAGGCTGAGGCCAGAGATGCCACAGGTCCCTAAAACTGGTGGTACCCTGGATCTTGCCCCTACTAAGTTCCTGAGCAAATGTGCAAGAATTTTGTCAGTCACTATCTACTGGCAGCTTGGAATCAGCCACTGTGAGAACATTCAGAACACTGGCACATGATACAAGTGAGGGCTTTCTTTAATCTAGGAAGCTGGCTCTCCAGCATGCCATATTGCAATATACTGGGCACTTCTGAGTGGCTCATGGGCTACTCATGTAGGTGAAAGCTGGTTTGTAATGGTCTGAGACTAAGCTGGTTAGCCAGACTTTTCTGCTGCTGTTAACTACCTGAGAGAATTTGAGCAAAGATTTACTTTGCTCCTAGTTTCAGAGGTGTTAGTCCATGGTTGGCTGGCTCTATTGCTTTTAGGCCATGGGGAAGCCAGGAACTGTGACTGAAAGGCACAGAGAAGCAGGTCTGCTCCCTGCACAGCAGCCAGGAGGCACAGGGAATGCTTGTGTGGTGGGTTTTCTCCTTTCCCCCTTTTATTCCACCCGGGCCCCCAGCCTATGGGGTGCTGCTGCCTGCCCGCATTCAGGGAACACACTCTCTGGAAATGCTCTCATAGGGCACACCCAGAGGGAAGCCTTACTAATGCCTCACTTCTTCCCAAGCTGACAATGAAGATTAACCTGCACACTGACTCATTTTACAAATAGGCTCAGAGACGTTTTGCACAGATCTAAGTTCATTTGAATATCCCAACACGGAACAAGTGTGTAGACTGCACCTGTGTTCAGAATTCTATCAAGCATGTTCACTGCTCTAAAAGACCATGTTCCAGGTAGTGACATGAGTGTCCTTCTGTCACCCACACAGCAAGGCTGTGGCAGCTGCATTTGCAGACCATGTATTTGTGATCTTTCTATTTTTAGTAAAAGTCATCTGACTGCTCCATCTGTCTGGTAGTTTCGACAAGCCCAAGCCTGTGTCCACAGAACTGACTTTGTCTCCATCACGGTCCCGTTCCTTCCTTTACTCCTCCTTCACATTGCAGGTAGAGAACTGTCCATTTTAAGGGCTTTTTCTTTTTCATTCTGTATATTTGCCCTATTAATATGAAGCTCCTTTGGGGATGGTTCTAGAATGGAGGCAATGGGTATGACAGGTTCTATATGAAAGGTGTTGGGTATTGCAGCTCTCAGAGAAGAAACAGAGCTAGTGATGCCTGCTTCCTTCTTCCCTGTCTCTAGAAAATGGAAACCAGGAGTGAAGAAATTCACATTAAAAGCAGAATTTTTCCCCATTACATGTTCCTGACCTAAATCAAATGAATGAACCCCCCTCTTTAGAACACACCACATGCTTTTTGAGAACCAAGCCCATGGCACTCAGACATTGGCATCTCACAGGTCAATGAACAGTAAATACTTCTGACAGGATTTTGAGGTTCTACAACTTAAAGATGACAAAACTTAGAGAAAAATCTAAGAAAAAATTGAAAATGACTTGAATTCACAAAATAGGATGCTTCTGGGTAAGGAACTGTTCAATGAACGGGGAAAACACCCGAAACCCAACTGTCTGAAACATGTAGTGTGCCACACAGAAGACAGTCGGTGGGTTTTCATTCTGACAGAAGACATGAACATTAAGAGAGCAACAGGCTCAGAATGACTCAACTGCAGGCGTGGCTGCACTGGCTACCGCAGTGCTTAAAGTGCTCCTTCCTTTCAGGTCCCGAAAATAGAGTCCAAGACCCAAGAGGCTCTGCCCTTCCCATGGTCCCGCCCTTGCCCATTCAGCTCTCTCTTTACTCATAAGAACCCAGATGCAAAAGAGACTGAGGAATGAGAAAGACATTTTCTCAGATGGCATCTTCAGTGTGTTTAGTGATGACAACAAAGAAAGTCATTCACTTATTGTTCTTAGAGCCACAACAAGTTGCCAGGAAAATGCACCCCAGGGAAGGGCACTACCCAAGAACCTCGTCTTCTTGGTGACAAAATAATCTTAGCAGAGTCTCCTAATTTGTCAGCATCTGGAAAGAATTAAAGACCCCTTTTTCTTTTGTTGATCAATAAAAATTGCTGGTGTAGCCTGAACACAAGTGTCAAATCACTGCACAGCCTATATGTAAGCTTTTCTACTTGCAAAATAAACAACCTTTCCACAGCAACCGGAGCCAGGCCTACAGTAGCTGTCTAGAACCCCTTGCCCTGCCAAAAGCTTGAGCCAAAGCTGATAAAACAAAGGAAGACATTTATGGCACATTATCCCACGTCCCAACAGAGCAGCCTGCTGCCACCCAGACATTCACGTGTCTCCATTGTCCACCATAATAGCTTAATAAGATGAATTCTCAGGAGGGAATTGGCCACCTGAAAATGGTTCCAAGAAAAATCTGACTTCCTAAAGGCCGGCTGCAACTCCCACTGGGCAGAGTAGATCAGGCACCACAATTAGGATGTGCACTCAGGCAGTGCCACTCGGGGGGGGGGACGGTTTCTACAGCCTCAAAGAATGAGTTCCTTCATTGAAATGCCAATGAGGCATGAAACCAAACAGGGAGCTGTGGACCAGGTCCAGGTCACGTGTGTGTGCACACACGTGTGTGCACTTGTGGTGGGGGCTCGTGGTACTAAGAACTGGGATGGTTATGCTCTCTTTAAATCTGATAAGGAGGGGAAGCTGGAGAGATGGCTCAATGGCCCAGGTTTGGTTCCCAGCACCCACATCGAGTGGCTCACACCTGCCTGTAACTCCAGTTCCAGGGAATCCAACACCCTCTTCAGGCCTCTGCAGGCACACACACATACGTGGTTCACATGCAGACAAGCAGGCACACAAACATACACATAAATAAAACAAAAGTGTAAAATTATTTAAATCAGACAAGGGGCATGTGGCATATCGTATTCCAAGCATAGACTTGGAACAACCCAGAGACGGCAATGAGTTGAAAAGCTACGGAAAATTTAGAGGGACTAAGACAGGTGAGGCCATGTCAAAGGAGGCTCGGAAGGCAGCAGGATGGAACGTGACAAGAAACATTCACAGTGGAAATGACAGGCCCAGCAGCACCTGGGGCCATCCTGAGCAGACACAAGTTGACACGTCAGAGAACATGCCACACAAAGCATGTATTTTTCTGCCCCTAAAGATTTAAAACTGCATTTCAAAATGCCTTCAGCAAAACTTCTTTTTCCTTTTGGTGTACAGTTCAGTGATTTTTCTCACACCACACACACACACACACACACACACACACACACACACACACTGTTTTTTCTCACCCCACACACACACACACACACACACACACACACACACACACACACACACAAACCATCAAACCCAAAGTACATAACAGTTCCACACCCATCACCTCCCTGTGCTATCCTTTTATGCTCACACCTTCCTCTTCTGTCCTGTCAAGTTCTGATCTGTTTCCCATCATTATTTCTGCCTTCCGGAAGGCAACATGAATGGGCTCTACAGTGTGCAACCTTTTGAGACTGGCTTCTTTCACTCAGCATAATGCCTTTGAGACCCACCCAAGTTGCTGTGTGCATTAACAACTTATCCATTTTGTTGCTGAGCCCAGTGTATGCAAGAATCACAGTGTGTTTGTCCCCTCCTCACCTGCTGGGGACATCTGGGTTGCTTCTAGCGTTTGATATCCAGAAATAGAACTGCTCTGAGCATGCCCACTGGGTCTTTATACGAACACAGCCTTCACTTCTGTGGGCTCACACTCAAGAGCGGTATCGCTGGGTCAAATGGTAAGTGTATGCTTAACTCTACAAAGCTGCCAAGTGTGTTCCAGAACAGCCACACTATCTGCATTCCTGTGAGCACCAGCAGCAGTGCAGGGGATGCTCTTCATCCTACCAGCACCTGCTATCGCCAACATTTCCCATTGTAACGTAGTAGGATAATGGATGACTCCCACCATATATGGCTGGAACCTGCACTTCCCTCGTGGTTAATGATGCTGAGCATCTTTTTGTTACCTGTTTGTAACCAATACTTTTTAGCAAAGTGTCTGTCTAAACTGCCCATTTAAAAAAGTTATGTTGCTTACTTTCTTTTTGTTGAATTTGACAGCTATTTGTATATTCTGGATACAAGTCCTTTGTTGTATATCTGACCTATAAATACATCCTCCCAGTCTATAGGTTATCTTTTAATTCTATTAACAGTCTTTTGCAGAAAAAGTTTAATTTTAGTTAATTCCAGCATCTGTTTTCCTTTTACAGTTCTTCCTTTTGGTGTCATGTATAAGAACTCTGTCTAAAGTACCCTCAAGTTCCAAATACTACTATGTTTTCTTTTAGAACGTTCATAGTTTCACACTTTACATTTAGATCTATAACCCATCTTAATTTTGAATGTAAAGTATGAGATTTGGGTGCAAGGTTTGTGTGTTTTATATAAATGCACAACTGTTCAGCACTATTTGCTGAAAAAGATGTTCTTTCTCCACCTGAGTTTCTTTGGTACTTGCATCAGAAATAAAATGGTCACATTATGTCAGTCTACTTGTGAACTCTGTATCTGATTCATTTATCCATGTGTCTATACCACACTGTTTTACTATTGCTTTACTCTTAAATTTAAGTGAATCTTCTTTTTTGCTGTTAATAGTGGCTTTTTTTTTCTTTTTGTCTTTTGAGACAGGGTCTCCCTGTAGCACCAGCTGGCCTGGAACTTACTATGTAGACCAGGCTGGCCTTGAACTCACAGAGATCTGTCTGACTCTGCCTCCTGAGTGCCTCCAAGACTCTTCCTATTTTGTTCTTTATCAAAATTATTTGAGTTATTCTAGTTCCTTTTTCTTTCCATATAGATTTCAAATCACTTGCCTACATCTGTAAAACTATTAAGATTTGGTTAGTGTTATGATAAATCTATATATCAATTTAAGGAGAAATGGCTCCCTTGCTGTGTTGAGTCTCCCAATCTAAGAACACTGTATGTCTTTGATTCCTTTCACAAAATTATGATGAATTATGATTTTTCTTTTTCTTTTTTTGGTCTTTTTGAGACAGGGTCTCCCTGTAGCCCCAGATGTCCTGGAACTCACTATGTGGACCAGGCTGGCCTTGAACTCACAGAGATCTGCCTGCCTCTGCCTCCCGAGTGCTGGGATTAAAGGCGTGCGCCACCACGCCCGGCTGAATTATGATTTTTTTAAAAAAATATTTTATCATTTTTATATGTATGCATGCATGTATTGCCTGCATGTATGTAAGCTCACCTGTGTTGTGCAATGCCCATGGAGGATAAAAGAGGCCATTGGATCCCCTGGTACTGGAGTAACAAACAGTTGTTAGCGGCCATGTAGGTGCTGGGATTTGAACCTGGATCTTCTGCAAGAATAGTCAGTGTTCTTAACCACTAAGCCATCTCTCCAGCCCCCGAATTATGATCTTTTTTTTTAAGGGACTGACTATATTGTATGGAAGTCCTATACCAGGGGATGGATCAAGAAAGTGTCCTAAGTTAGCTGGTCTTCACAGTGTAAAGGCTTCTTCAGCCACATGGGCACACTGCTTCCCACAAATATGGCTTGTCTGTGATTCTCTGTGTGCCCCTTCCCCTGACCTAACCAAACTGTAGCCACTAACCTTTTCTCCACTCATAGACAACTGCTACATGCCCCACCCTCTCACGTATTTCTGAAGATGCTCTGGAAAGGCCTGCTTCTACGGCGGCTTCTCTCCTCTAATTACACATGGGGCTCCTACATAGGCACAACAAATCTCTGTAATCTCTAAAAATATACTGCTGAGAATAAACTTAGTTTCTATTTTCTGTTCTCTTTTGTTGAATGTCAGTGATTTCCAGGAAAGTAACAGAACAGTAGTAAGTTTCTGGGCACATTTCTTTTTGGTATCAGAGCGAAAACACCAAAATAGGAGAGAGGCTATAGGTAGATATTAAAAAGTACACTCTAGCAATGTACCTTTAGCAATGAAAAGAGACAAGGGCCAAAAACTACAGTAATAAGTGACTGATCTATTGAGTTCATTCTTGTTCGTGGAGCTCTAGCAGGTAATGACAGGCAGCTTATGCAGGATCTGGTGTAAGCCCTGTGATACAGCATGAGTTATAAGCAACAGTTCAAACTGGATGCCTCTCAGAGTCCCGTGTGAAGAGCTCTCTGGTGACCTCTCTGGTGACTAGAATAGAACCCCATGGGCGTGGCTGTGTTCACCTCTGAGTTCTATTATGTAACTGGAGACAGCTGCCCCTCCAAATACTGGGCAGAATGATTTCATTTATTGTATAATGGCTACAGTAAAATAATCCAATTGATAGAATTATTATTTATATGACAGCCAATTTTCAAACACTTGCATAGACTACTTGGTTTAAAAACAAATACATCCAAGTCCTTCTGAATCATACTTAACTCATCAACATGATTCTGCTCCTCTGCCCTGTCTGGGGAGTTCTGTGTGAGCCTGTGTTCTGCATATTCAACACCAGGTGGACTACAAATGTTCAACACAAATTTTGTGGAAGGCAGAGAAGCTCAGATCTCCAATTTTAGTTTTTATTTGTTTATTTTATTTTATGTATATGAGTGTTTTGTCTGCATGTATGTAAGTGTGCCCATGTCATGAAAAGCCCATGGAGGCCAGAAGAGGGCATCAGATCCCCTGGAACCAGAGTTACAGAAAGTTGTTAGCTGCCATGTGGGTGCTGGGAATCAAACCCAGGTCTTCTGCAAAAACAGCCAGTTCTCTTAACCCGAGTCACCTCTCCAGCCCCCTCAGATCTCCAATTTTAAAAGGTAGTTGCTCACCTTATTGTGAATCCAGACAGCAGGAGGGTGGTTTGTGTATTTCACTGCCAATTCTATCATTCTCTCTTGTTCAAGCAGTCTGGGACTGGAGCATATTGAAAACCCACCAACCACCGAGACTCCTGGGATAAAGAAGTCAACCCTAAAAGGAAGGATAAATAAACTATAACTGCTGAAGTAACTTAAAAAATTGTCAAACGAAGGCAGTAAGATAAACAAAACTGATAACGTTTTCATTAGACTAAGAAAACAGAAAACATAAACCACTAAAATTAAAAGGAGTCATCATAACCAGTCTTACAAAAATAAAAAGGATTGGGGTTCAGACCTCCTCCACTGGAGTAGCTGCTCGGAGCTCAGCAGACCACCAGAGAGTGTGGGGTTCTGGCCTCCCTCTGGCCTCCAACTACCAGAGGGCCTGAGAACCTAGGGGACAGCCTGACAGCCCCTGAATCCTGCCTCCACGTGGTGGTGAGCTTCCCCTAATTGCGCCATACCATCCCCCTACCTGGGATTTTGTGAGTCCCCTCCCAAGGCCCCAGGGCAGATCTGCCTTTGGTAGGCTAAGGCTGGGATCTCAGCAGACTACCAGAGAGTGCTGAGTTCTGGCCCTCTTCTGGCCTCCCTCTGATATAGGGTTGACAGCACACAGGACTGCCTACAATAGCCTGGATCCTGCCTCCATGTGGTGAAGGAAGCCTGAGTGTACCTGACTGGAATCTGAATTGGGCTTCTGTGGGTACCCCTGAATAGCTGATCTGAAGCCATCAGTTCC